CCCCCCCGTTTCTTTCTCTCTCTCTTTCTTTCAAGAATCCTTCTTACCTTTTGGAAAATTTGTCAGCTTAGCTTTCTGACACTTGACACCCATTTCTTGTCATCATTTTCTATAACGTATGGGAATCATATTGTACAAGGATGGGAAAAGTGTCCTCTCTCTTTTGTAGAAAATCAGCAGAGTTCAGGGCTTTTCCGTCTTCTGTAACTGAGCCTCTTGTGCCCATGTTCCTCGTCGGTTTTGTAATTGTTGGTGGACTGAATCCCGCATTGAATGTTATGGGAGACTTTGTACTCTGGTCCCCCTCAGGACCAAGAGTTTCAGTCAGAGGTGTACTGAGAGCCAGAGGTTGGGATAAACACCTGTATTTGGACAAATGAAGAAGGGACTGAAGAAATGGTGTCCGTAGGCCCATGACATTAACCTAATAAAACTTACGTCAGTAGCATCTGAACTCCCGTGGAACCTGCGATAAAATCTAGTCACCTTCTCCATGATGCAGAGCCCTGCTGACTTTAAAACTCTGCTTGGCCACAGCCTGGGATTCAGAGAACACACGTCCTAGCAGATAGGAGATAAAGAGGTGGCTTCTTTTGGGTTACCTTTCATTATAAAATTAGGGATGGTGTACAGCACTGGCAAACGCATGAAAATGTATATTGGACGACTCTCAACCTTTTTAATCTTGAATTTCTCTCATGTAAAAAAAAAAAAAAAGTGGGTTGGACCAAATTTCTGAAAAATGGTCTCTGAGCTCTGATAGCTTCTGCAGAATGAAGTCTGGGGCCCTTTTTGAGGGGGCTGGGGGGCTTCTGTTATTTTGCCAAGTCTTGTTTGGATACCTAAAATTTAAACGTAAGCTGCAGGACACAACTTAAAAAGGAGGTCAGAGCATTTTCTTAAGTCTTTCTTGTGTTTCTGGTGCATTTCTGAGAGGCAGTTATAATAAAGTGATGAAGATGATGGCTTGGGAGCCAGTTTGCTTGGATAAAAACCCCAGCTCTTCCATATACTAATAACTGCGTGACCTTTGGCAGCTACAAAACCTCTATGTCTGTTTCTTCTTCAGTAACATGGGCCACATAAAATACCTACTAAAACAGTTGCTGGGGGATTAAATTTGTTGATATACAGGGTGTCTCCCCCCCTGAATGTATACACACTGTAACACCTGATAGTTCAGTTTTGAAAATGAAATGTATTTTAATAAACACTGTCTTTATAATTATTCAAAGTGTGTGTATACATTTTTGGGGAATACCCTACACATTAGAACTGTGCCCGGCGCCTAGGAAGATGTTAATAAACATTGGCTGCCATCACTATCATCATCATCATCACCTTGACGTCGTGAAGCATAGTTTTATTTCCTTGGTGACTACCTGGCTGCTGCTGTTGAGCCTTTGGGAAAACTGGCGAAGTCTGTAATGCTTTCCGACTGTGTTTTCTGTTGTTTCTCTGCAGCAAGCTGCGTCCCTCCATGCCAGAATGGGGGGATGTGCCTCCGGCCTCAACTCTGCGTGTGCAAACCAGGGACCAAGGGCAAAGCCTGTGAGACCATAGCTGCCCAGGACACCGCGTCCCCAGCCTTTGGAGGACAGAGTCCCGGGGCTGCACCCTCCTGGGTCCCTCCGGAGCAGGCAGCGAAACACGCGTCCTCTAAGAAGGCAGACACTCTACCCAGAGTCAGTCCCGTGGCCCAGATGACCTTGACCCTCAAGCCGAAGCCTTCAGTGGGACTCTCCCAGCAGATCCATTCTCAGTGAGTGTTCTGAACCTGCCTCGAGCTCGGGAGCATCGTAATGACTCTCTCAGATGAATCGCTTTAAACCGCTCCCCTTTCCCTGCACAGTGTGTAGAAATCACTTGCATAAGAACATCTGTCTTTCCTTTCCTTAAGGTTTTGCATGGGATGCTTACACTCCAAGTCTCTGAAAAATATTTGATATATATGTTTAGCCTCTGCAGGGAAGATTTAATAAGCACAAGCCAGAGCAATAGTGAAGATTACAGGGATCCAGGTTGGAAAGGGAGTAATAGAGATAATTGTTTGATTGAGGTGGAGCTTTGAGTTTAAAACATTCTTTTTTTGGGGGGGGTGCTCTAGAGTTTTGAAATAATAATTTAAAAAGAAGAAGTGTGATTTCTAAAGATATAGAGAAAAGGTAGGAGCTCCACTTGGCACAGAGAAGGTATTTAAGTGAAACCGAGTCCTCGGAAAGAGCGAATTTCCCAGCCTCAGTCGCAGGTTAGGTGCATCTTCCAGGTGCCGTGCGGTTCTGCCCTTGGCGAATGAGCTTGTGCTCTATTTATGGGAACGTGGTCTTTTCTTAGCATTAGGAAATGCTGTTCTGAACAAAATGAGAACCCTGGGATAAAGGACAATTTTCCCTCTCCTCCTCTGAGTCGCATGGGAAGCGGCTCCTGGGCTGCCCGGGATCCTTACCCAGATTGTTGCCTTTTAATTAGCTGCTCCGCGTGGGCAACAAGATGCAGGATTTGCTGCAACTATCATTTGTCATTTGTCTAGGAATGTAAAATACAGGAAGCTCTCGGCTAAGAACGGGCCTGACCCAGCAGTTCATTTGTAAGCTTGGAATTTCCAGTGTTTTCTCCCCTGGAAACAGCTTCCACGCGGGATCGGTATCCCTCAGCCCGCAGCTGCTGTTTAACCTGCGCCTGTCGATGAAATGCCCCCACTCCCTTCTCCCCCGCAGCAGGCCGCCTGCTGTCCCTGCCCAGTGGGGTCCTGCTCACTTTTGCTTCCTCCCTCAATTCTCTTCTTTCTGTTTTCCTTCCTTTCCCCTCTTTTCTTGTCTCACACTTCAGTTCTGCCCTGAGAAATAGATTGGGGTGGGGGGGCTAGTTTGAAATCTAACCACTTTGCTAGCATTTCAGTTGGAAAATATCGAAATATCCTGCAAGAAGGAATGGTAGTTATCACTAATGCTTAGTAAACANATATCAAAATATCCTGCAAGAAGGAATGGTAGTTATCACTAATGCTTAGTAAACATTTTCCTGACTGACACTTCATAACTTAGGGACTGTTTCAAATGCTTTGTATATGTTATTAATTTACAACTCACAATGCCCCCGTATGGTAGGTACTGCTGTTAACCCTGTCTACAGATGAGAAAAGCGAGGGGCAGCGAGGTTAAGTAGTTTGTTTCAGGCCACACAGTTAATAGGTGAATAATAAGAAGAAGTGTTTGGATTTAAAAGGGGGCAGAATCTGGAAAAACAGCTCAAGGCTTCACGTGGAGGTGGGCAGCACCCAGAACCCACGCCCTGAAGTGGAGGGTGGCACACTTTTCCTGGCAGGGGCCAGATCTTTTCGGCTCTGTGGGACATATGGTTTCTGTTGCAGCTCCTCCGTTCTGCGGTTATGACACAAAATCAGCCACAGATGATGCCGAAATGAATGAGTGTGACCGCTCCAATAAAACTTTATTTACGACTATTGAAATTTGAATGTCATATAAATGTCACATGTCACCCAATATTCTTCTTCTTTTGATTTTTTTTTTCTCTCTCCCCTTTAAAATGTAAAAATCATTCTTAGCTTGTGGACCATACAAAAATGGGCCGTGGGCCAGCTTTTTGGCCCCCGAGCTGTGGTTTGCTGGCCCGTCTCTGAAGGATAGTCGTGCGTGTCTGAGCCAGAACACCGATGTAACTGTGCCCTTCAAATGAGGCAAAGCTTTGGTTATATCATAGCGAGACATCTCCCTTCCAGCATTGTTCTGGACCTTAAAAACAAAGAACAGTCCTGCCTTAAACTACGCCTTGGCAATTAAGAGTCAGATGACCGTGCACTGCAATTATGATGTTTTTTTCTAGCATCATCACATAAACCGTGAAGTAATGTACAAGCGACATCATTCATCTTGAGTAGCACCGTCCGCTGTTAGACGGGCCCTCCGTGATGTGTGTATGTGGGTTGTTAGTGAGAACCATATGTCAGATGTCAAATAAAGGAGCAACCTTTCTCTTTTTTTGGTAGCAGGGGTACAATTTAGACAAGAATGTTGTGAGTCGAAGAGAGGCTGAGGTTTCAGCTCTAGCCTGGCTTTGGGGAAATAGAAGTCGTTGCAGGCAACCCTTGTTTTGTTGAGCTCCCTCTTATTGCACTTTGCCTTATTGTGCTCCACAGACGTTGCGTTTTTTTTTCTTTTTTTATGAATTGAAAGTTTGTGGCAACCCTGTGTTCAGCGAGTCTGTTGGTGCCATTTTTCCATCAGGCTCAATGATAGTTAGCATTTTTTAGCAGTAAAGTATTTTTAAAGTAAGGCGTGTACATTTTTTTAGACATAATGTTATTTATTGCACACTTAATAGACTACAGTATATTGTAAGCATAACTTTTAGATGTACCAGGAAACCAGAAAGTTTGGTGACTCACTGAATTGCATGACACAGTTTGGGGAACCAGACCTGCCATATCTCCAAGGCATGGCTGTAGAGGATTTGCTTCCAAGACTGAAGATGCGTTTTATGATAACATTATTACAGCCTTGTGTATGTGGCGTGTCCACTGTGTGCTTTGGGGTAAGGAGAAGAGATGGTTTAAGATACTAACAATTCTGGTATTTTCTTAATAAACTTTTATAGGTTGCCCTGTTATCTGGGCACTGCAGGGAGTACTAAGATATACAAGATCCAGTTCTGTTCTTAAGGACATTTTGAAATGATAGATGAGCTATAACTTGAGAGAGATGCGCAGACAGGGGGGTGCAGTGCAGTTGGCCCCCTGATGAATTTAGGCAATGACATGATCACCTGAAATCATATTTAATCAAATTGCCAAGGAAGCACATCTGATAGGACCATTTTACCTACTTTTGAGAAATGCAACAAGACTTAAGTTATCTTTTTAAGATTGCCTATTTTTAGGGTGTTTCAAACTTTTGTTTTGTTTTTCTCCAGTGAAAGAGATTGATTAAGTTTCCTTAAAACGCTTGTAGACATAAAGACACGTAAAATATCAAACTGTTTAGGCACTGTGACGTTCATTGCATAGGTTACGCAGTGCTGCAGTCTTATTGTTTATTCACCAAGTTTTATTGAGCACATTCTACGTACCATGCACCCTTCTAGGGGCTTTGGATGCAGCATTGAACAACTAAACATACTGTCTGCCCTCCTGGAGGTCACAGCCTGGGAAGGGAGATGGTTGATAACGGCATCATTAAAACATAGGCTAGATTGTGGTTAAGTGCTGTGAAGAAACGAAAACTGCAATAATAGGGAGTGGGTAGGAAGGGTGAGGGTTCTGGTGGTTTGAACTATGCTGTCGGGAGGCTCCGCTGAAAAGGTGACGTTTAACGAAAGGCCTGAGGAGGTGAGGGCGTGAACCATGAAGATATGGGGGGGTGCAGATGACTTGGGGAACAGCCACATTAGTAAACCTGGCATGTTAGAGCCACACATTTCAGGCAGGTGGGTATTAGATGAATTGGTTTTACCTTTGGCTGAACTGGTTTTTGACAGCTCGACTTAGAACTAGATACAGGGTTGTTTAGGCAATCAAAGGAAGGAGCGATTGTTTCCAGATTTAGGAAAGTAGGGAAATGGAGGTCCAGGGATGTCTCTGGAGAAGGGGGTCTGTGAGCTTGAAAAGACAGTTAAAGTTGGACACAGAGATCTAGAGAAGAAGGGCATTTCCAGGAAAGGCAATGATGTGACATCAGAAAGTACGGTATATTAATTATCTACTGCTGTGCAACAGGTCACCCCCAAAATTTAGCAGCTTAAAACGGTAAACGTTTATTGTCTGACAGTCTGGGGTCAGGAATCCAGGAGGCAGTTGGCTGGGAGTCGTGGCTCGGGGTCTCTCGTGAGGTTGTAGTCAGCAGGGGCGGCTCGACTGGGGCTGGAGAATCCACTGCCCAGGTGACACCCCCGTGGCTGCTGGCAGGAGGCTGTGCTTCTGCTCCAAGGGACCTCTGCAGAGCTGCTTGAGCATCCTCACAGCATGGCCTCCGGCTTCTCCCCGGGCAGGCGACCCCACACTGGAGAGAGCGGGACACAGCCACAGGGCCTTTTTAGTCTTAGGTCTTGAAAAGGACACACCTTCACTTCTGCTTTATTCTGCTCGTTAGAAGTGAGTCATTAAGTTGGACCACCCTCAGAGGGGGAGGAATTAAGTTGCATTTCTTGAAGGGAGAAATATCAGAGAATTTGTGGACATATTTAAAAATGACCACATATAGAACGTGATTTGATTGGAACTTGATATAGATGAAGACTTAGTGGTAATAAAAAGTTTTGAAGATTGGTTGCAAACCAAGTTAAAGGCTACAATGTCAACAGAAGAATTCCAAAAAGATACAATGAAACAGAACTGAAAAGAAAAAGTAATGGAGGGGGAACTCACAGTTTCAAAGAGGCTTAAGAAACATATTAACCAATCATAATATTTGGATTGTGTCTATCCTGGTTCAAAGAAACAAACAAACAAGTTGTAAATAAAAGAAAAAGATGACGATGATTTTATAAGATGCTCATAAAAATGCTGATATTGGAGATTTGAGGGTATAAAGGAATGATTGTTGATTTGGGGGCTGTGATGATGGCATTGTAGTTATGTGAGGAGGAGAACCATGTTAAAGTATTTACAGATGAAATTGTATGACGTCTGAGTTTTGATTGAAATAATCCAGTGGATTGAGGCATAGAGGTAAGATTGGCCGTGAGGGATAATTATTGAAGCTGGATGATGGGCACATGGTGTATTCTTACACTATTTACATCTTTAAA